TGTCTTGATATGATAACCCCGTCGCCAGTTGTTATATCTAGAAGGTTGATTACTTGATATACCGCGTATAACTGAACACCAGAACGCCGTAATCCTTCCAAGTCGCAATGATAAGACAGAAGACTAGTGAAATGAATTTTATTCCCGACAGTGTCAATTATGGTACAAATTGTCAGGTATTTATAGTTTTTAGTAAGAACAAAAATCATCATCTCATTCCTCCAATCCGCATGCAGGGGGTTCTAAGGCTTGTTCAATCTGGAAGCTGCACGTAGGAATTCTAGAATGTTCTTCCCAAAAGTGATTGGATGGAATTTCTTCGGCTCATTCTGAGCCTCTTACTGTTTCCTTGAGTTCACCTGTGGTCCGTCGCCACAGTTGGAGACTGTGTGTGACATGCCTCAGATTCGGTCATAATCGCGTAGGTGCATACACTATCTGTCTTCTTTCAAACCGTGAGATTAAAATCGATTCATATCTTTCTTTCTACGAACCAATTCTTTCTTTCTGTACTATACCGTTATATAAAATCTTTCACTGAATTAACTATCTGGCTACAAGAGGTATTTCCTAAAGTTCTAGTAAGAAGCAGTGACCGAAATTGAATACTGGCATTATATCATCTTGTTAACATGGTAGTTAATAGGTTCTGTGTTCCAATCTCGCGAGGTTGGATCGTGGATATGCACTGTTGAGGAGTCCTACAATAGGATGAAACGGCCAACCAGTACTTCCAGGTTTTCCATCGTGATCTAGCTTCGATTGACTCATGACCTCAACTATTGAAATTACTATAATATCCACAAAAACCCCTTCTGATATTTTTTAAATTTTTTACGCCCATTTTTGTCGGATACTTGGTAGCGTACCAATTACTTGAGGCGTTAAAGAGCGCAACTAGAACCCTTGAGAGGGCTATGTTTCGCGAATATATGGTGCTAAATTGTCATCTCCATGGATGTCAGAGGCCGCATATTAAACTTTCATTTTAAAGAAATGGTCGTAGAACACTTAGAGGATCTTCACAGCTGATTAGATGTAGGATGTTATTTGATTATTGTTATCAATATTATCGTTCTTGATGGACTTCAACGAACACTCAATTACAAGAACTCGAGTGTTATTGTTCATTGAACGAAAAACTGTTTGACACTTCGAACAATCACAAACATTCACTTTCAGTGAGTCCGCAGTAAAAATTAATAAGAGGAAACGAAATAAAATATTTAATGATCAGTTAAATGTGTGCCTATTTGTTGACACTCAGTGACTAGTCACATTCGCTTTCACTACAATGTATCAATAACTCATTATGAAAAAGTCTCTGCTGTTACAATAAAAATATTTGTTTTGCTAGATGATAAATTCGTACACTAAGCTTTTGTATAAATCAATGTCATGTGCGTCGGGTCCTTCTTCGTGCATAAGGAATCATATCGACGAAGTTGCAATGTGGCCACACATGCTATTGATCACCACCCAATGATCAATCAATTGTGAATACATCTCAGTCCTACAAGAGGCCAGTTGCGGCCCGGATAGCCGCACGGTAGCATCACCGACAATGAAGCTTGGTGACACGGAACGGAATTTGTCAGGGAGTATTAGTTCCCTTAAGATGCTGAAAGTAGACAGGATACATATTGAGGAAAACATCCAACTACATCATAAAGCAAGCCCTCATTGGAATTTCTCAAAGCCAAAAGAAAAAAGGAAGATCAATGAAGAACATATTTCGCTGACTGCAATTCATCATTCTTATGTTGACATATCTGCATCATGTACGAATCGTCAGGATATCATCTTAAGTCACAAGCTTTATAAGCAAAGATGGATAGTGGATAGCAGTGGAATCCAGGACACGGGACACTTTGTCCTATTTGGGACTTGTAAGCTGGATGTATCTGCATCCCAGAGATGATGTTCTGTCCGAGAGTGACTCGAATTCAGTGCCGCTTGTTTACCACATATTACTTATGTCTGTCCTTATGAGTAGCGCACACTGACTTACTGTGATTTGCAAAGACGGATAGTGGCTTGTAGTGATATCCAAGATGTACGACACTTATTCCAATTTGAGACTCTTCAGCTGGATTTACCTGCATCCCAGAGATGATGTTTAGTCCGAGAGTGACTCGAACCCAGTACCGTTCGCTTCAAAAATTATCACGTTATCCATTTAGCTACTGAGGCATGATAGCCACTTACTTGTGCAATGTGGTGAAGTGTAAATTCAATCGATGTTGTTTATTTGTTCCTTCTCATTGATGTTTAGGACTGCGATTGGTCAGCACCATATTGGCATATTTGCATCCTGTGTGGAATGCTTAGATATAACCATAATTCACAAGAATTACGTGCAAAGATGGGTAGCGGCTTTAGAATTAAGGCTATATAGAGGCAATACGCACAGTATGCATATATGCCAATAAGTGACTTAACAATTTCAATCCTAAGCATCAATGGGACAATTCAAACAAACAATATCAAGTGAATTTAGCTATCATTTATTTACATCCGGTTAATAACTGACGTTACTCATCAACTGTTTAAAGACATTTGTGATTGTCAATATCTTGTATGAATTGTTATGAATATATTAATAGTTGAATTCGTGAGTCAATCTAAGCTGGATCACTGTTGAAAATCTGTAAGCACCGAACAGTTGTTTCGTCATAGTATGGGACTCCTCAGCAGTGTTCATACACGATCCTACCCCAAAGAGACTCAAACCCATGACCTATAATATGGCATGCAAATGCTTTATCTCTGGACCGGTGAGTCGGCATCCAACAATGTTAAATTCTAGCTTCAATCGATTCGTGATATTGTGCAACCCTCTTTTCATTATCTGAAGTGCATAACTATATCGGACCCCATAGGGATTGAACTCTATCGATTACAGCTTCCTAATTCTTATTACCACATTCCTAATGTATTTGATATCATCAAAATAAGTCGATAAATGATGAACTATTTCCGTTTTCAATCAATTTTCCTACAATCAATTATCAAGGATCATATTAATGATAAGTTCTCAACATTACAATTGTAACTACTGAATTCAATAGTCATTTGATATAGATTATAATAGGTAGGAGAGAACAAGCTAGCTACCAACTGAGGATGAAATTAGGAAAAAAACGTTGAAAGTGGATAGAATATTGTGGTGTTTGAATGAACTAATGATCCCTTTGTACTTGTTGAATGCTTGATTTCAAATTTCAAATACATGACATTCATCAGGCTTGTCTAATACTTTTTGATTCAATTGCGTTATTTCTGGGATTCTTAGTTGTTACTATAATTCAAATACTCCTAATCATCACATTGGCGTCGCGATGGAGACTGTGATTGAACTGTTGGGTATACATTCAGATTTCGATGCTTTTCAGGATTACTTTGAAAGGTTCGAAATCTGGGTTATGACCAAGGAAGATGATGAGGATGTTAATATTGTACAACATTTCCTCACTTTCATCTTAAAGGAATTATATTGCTCATTAAAAACTCTAGTTATACTGTAAAAGCCCATTTCGATTTTTGTCCTGTGGCAAGTTCGACTCTTTTGATTCATGTAAACTTTGTTATTCCAAGTGCTTTAAATGCGGCAATATTGGACATATTCAGTCAGTTTGTTTCTAACGGTCATTCATTTTCATCCACGACTTCGAAAAGCGGTACAGAGTCACGTAGCAGACGAGAGTTAAATGAAACTCAGAATCTTTGTGAGACAACAGTTTCTAGTCAATCAACTTACCAGATTTCTCGTTTTATTGTACTAGGTATGGGTTTTCCTAACGATTCACATATTTGTGATGAAATTTCTTACAAATTTAAGGCAAATATATTGAGTGAACCCAATTATGATAGAAAACCTGATGTAGTTTTGATAGATGCTGATTTTTCAATCCAGATGATTCCATATCAACTGTTGTTTATCCTTATCATAAATTCACTTCGAATGTACACTCTAGTCAATGTGAGAAAAATGTTTTAAATGAAGCCACATTATTCATAACTTGGGGATATGCAGATCTGACAATATATGGTGGGGGAGGATAGTGTAAATGTCTATGGTTGAAATTGTAGGTAGCAGTAGTTTCAGTACTCAACCGACCTGATGATTGTACACTATCCCAGGAAGCAGGTGAGTCTGTTTCGATGTCGGCTATTAATTCTAATACTAATGAGTGCATTCTAGATAATACAAAGTCTTTATCCAATACGCTATCGGAAAGACACAGGATGAACTTAAGAAGAAGACGTACAATCAATTACAGACATTTAGACAGCAATTTAGGCTGAGGCAGATGTGGTGTATGAATGAACTAATGATCCCTTTGCACTTGTTGAATGCTTGATTTCAAATTTCAAATACAGTATATTCGTTAGTGCATGTGTAGTACTTCTTGATTTAATCGCGTTATTTCTGGGATTATTGGTTAATACTACAATTCAAATACTGGTAATCATCATAGATATACACTATAGAAATCATCAAACTGCATCATGAGCTAAGCGCCAACTTGAAATCCTGAAAGAAAGCAAAATAGAGAAAGGCCAGAGAACACGCTGAGTTGAGAATTGGAAGTAGACATGAAAAGAATCACCCAGCAAAAAATAAGATGTTGTGTGTTGTGTTGTGTTACTCCTCCACGAAGAGTAACAGGAATTTTACTTATCAAAAAACAGATGACACAGGGAAATGATTCATTCTGAAATGGTTGATATAGTTTTTTATATCTTTTTCTTCATTCATATTTCTCTTGTTTAATCTAATCTATTCAATGTGAAGTGTTGTATCTAGGTGAAAATTCAACTACATGATGTAATTCATCTAGATTTTCATAATCAATATTATTAGTAACAGGTTTTTCATATGACGATATAGGTAAATATGTATCAGAAGTTATAATGATTCCTGTTCCACTATCTAAACCTCTATCACTACCACATTTACTGCTATTATTATTATATGGATCATTTATATGATTTATTTATTGTACATCTTTACTGTATAACTCTATTCTATCAGTCAATGAATCCATTTGTATCATATTTGGAATATGCTCATTAGAATGTTTCAAGATCAATGAAATTTTATGATATGGACTAGATCGATTTATTGTTGTGGATATCCATCCAGTTCTATTCAATGTTGTATTATGATCGGTTGTATTTTGTTCATTTACACGTAAAGGATATACACGTTTTGATGATCGTTGATTCATAATTTGATTACTATAATGATAAGAAGGTTGTATATAGTTAGATAATTTCTTATCTATATTCGATATAAATAAATGTCACTGTTTATAATGGATCATCATAGTATAGTCCTCTTGACAAAGGATATTCTTCTGGAATATTCCAGTTTTTCTGTGATGTTAATATATTTGAAGGTAAACATGTTGTCTGATTTGAATTCATTAAAGATTTCTTATATGTTATATCATCAGTAGGAGATTAATTCATTGAATGATGTGTTTCTGGTAAGATGATTATACCTGGTTTATACTCATTATAGGTTGTATTGAATCTAGATCTTAATAATTGATGATCTGATCTAAAACGTACCCATCATATAGCAGCTATTCAACTAATCATTAATATTAAACTACATATAATAATTAGAATCAATATTATTTGATTACTTATATGAGAATTATATAATGTCCAGAAACCTAATTGATCCTCAATCGATTCGCTAATATTAACATAAAACAGAACTTCAGTTGTATATTGTTGTTTCCCTTTATCTTGTATATGAATCGATATTAAATATAAACGAGATATCGGTGAAGTTTTTGATGTGGACTGTTTATTCATGAACTGTGATTCACTCACATTGATTGATTGATCATCAATCGATGATTTAATCATTGGTTCTTTGATATAATTGTTCCAACATGTTCTTAATTGACCTGTATGTTCATGAATAGTTAAATAGAAAAATCCTTCATGTATATCCAAGACATCTATATTGTTATCTCTGTGATATTGTGGGTTTCTTTTATTGATCTTTAAATGACTTCTAGGATTACTCATGATGTTCTTATCATTTGCTTCAAGACTGATATCAGTGTTTTGCCAGATTATTTGTTGTTTGAAACAAGATATTTAACTTGGTACTACAGAATAAATGATAGTACCATTTTCACCAGCATCTGGATCTTTACCACGTATAGTAGCGATTATTGTACCATATGGTATATTAGCTGGTATAGTTGTTGTTGTTATTGATTGTTTATTATTATGAAACCAATTCCATTTTTCATGCATCTCAAACAGAAGACTACCATTCATTGGATATGATAATTCTGGTTGATTATCATTAATATCATCAATAAAAACTGTTAAAGTAATTGTACATGTATGAATAACTGATTGACCATGATCATAAGCGATCAATATTAATAGAAATTGTGATAGAGTTTCACGATTTATTAAACCAGATACAAACAATCTTGACTCGTCATCAATGGAATAGATACCAGAATCTATATCCATAGCAACAATTTGTCCAATCCTTGTATGGATTGGTATATATTTTCATAAATTTTAAATTCATCATTGTTTTGATCAAATTGTGGCCAATTATCATTGAAATTTTCTAATTTAATATTCAACCATTTATGAATCAGTTTTGACCGTTCAACTTTATCCACACTTTGTATACCAGCTAATATTTCTCCATGATTATTATGATTTGTATCTAATTCATAATCCAATTCATGTGGATTCAATAAACCATAAACATAATTTGAATCAGAAAGGATATAAAAATTGCCAAGATTTTCTTTTTGATCCGTGAGTTGCCATTGAATCTTATTCATGGAACAATCATCTTTACGATTGATAGTAATTCATCTTAATACTTAGTGGTGGTGGGGGTTGGATCATTTTCATAAAATAATGCATAACATCTCATATTCCCTAGATATTGATTATTATTACTACTACTATTGTGGATTTCAGTAGTTTGTATAGGGATGATATCAATCTCTGGTTCACTGTCATTAATATCAATGAAATGAATTGTATAAGTTAAACTTGATGTTAATTTTGCTATTCCATTATCAATAGCTTGAATTATTAAGATGATTTCACGTTCATATTGATTTTCATAATCGAAATGATTCGATATCATTCATTCATCATTGAATGAATTTAATGAATATTTCCATATCATTGATTGAATAATCGATTGATTGATTGAATTAACTGTATATTGATTTCTAATCAATACAATAAGTAACTCCACTCTTTTCACCTTCATCTAAATCTTCCGTATAGAAATGATAAATCTTTATACGAATTGTTAAATGTTTTCCATAATATAAATATTATAATGATCATTATTGATAATAGAAGTTTGTGTATCTATGGTAACATTGATAAACAATGATGGAGAATCATCAATAATATCAATAATTTTAATTAATAATAACAGAATTCATTGCAAGGATGGTCAACCATAATCTTCAACAATTTTAATTGATTATAATGATAATAGATAGATCTATTTTCACGATCTAATCAATCCATTCCATTGTAATTGTGGTGATCCTTGATGTGAATAGATTGATTTGGATTAATTAAACTAAATAGTGAGTGTAAATTAGATTTTATTTGATTAAAATGATTATTCATTGTATGATTGATTGATAGATTATTGATTAATTCTAATCGATATTGTTTCATACCATCATGTGGTGAATCGATATCTAATGCCATAAGTAATGTATAACAATTATCAATTGAAGTAGATCCTTGCATAATTAATTCCTAAACATTCATAGATGTTTCATTATTGTTGTTGTTGTCGTCGTCGTCAATGTTGTTGTTCTTGTTCTTTAGATTAGATTTAGGAAATAAGGGTCTATTATCATTTTCATCTAATAATTATAATTATCATTTGAATTTTCATTGGTTTCAATATCATTTTACATAAATATACCTCAATATTCATTTGACAAGAATCTAATAAACAACAATTCAGTTGATAACAAATGAAATCACGATCAATTTCTTGAAGGCAATATAAATCACCTTGTAAAGTTCATTGAAAATATGTATCTGGAATTAATATGGAACGAATAATTGTGTTACTATGTGGTTGTGGTTGTAGTGGTGTTCGTTGTTGATGATGCTGTTGGTGGTGTTGGTGGCAGTGGTCGTCGTCGTCGTGGTCATGGGGATATTTCTGTTCAGTATCATTAGTAGTAAAAATTTTTCCAACTCAAAAGTTCACTGGTGTATTATCATTTAAATGGAATTCAATTTCATATTCTAAAAATGATTCATTATTACTACTACTACTACTACTTTTATATACATTAAAAGTAGTATTCATAGTAGTATTGTTATTATAATCAATATTTATTGATTTGACTACATAATTCATTTGAAATCTAATCAGAATTTAATTGATGAAATAAATTATAAGATATAATTTAAATATAATGATAAAATCGATAATCATTTTATAGTTGCTAGGTCAATAAAGAATCAATCTGATGTTCAATATGATTAGTTATTAACGTTAGTTTTATTATTTCAAATGTTTTCCATCAAATTTTTCAATAGACTATAACAAGGGAGTTCAACAACTGAAGAAACCAAATAAAGACGAAATGAAACACTTTAAAGTTTCATCTAAAAGAACAAAGTAAGAAGAACAAATTCACACATCTTCATTTCTTATGATATATAGATAATATGACAATAATGATGATGATGATGATGATGATGTTGATGATGATGATGAGAGACCTATGGAAATAAACATACATTGATTTGTATGTTACATGTGAACTAAAGTAATGGAGATCAATAAAATTTTTATGGATAAATTCATTCTTATCTTATTCCCTCTCACTTATATCTAATTTTCTATCCATAGATAAATAGAAAGATAGGGAGAGAGATGAAGAGACACTTTACCTACCTCCCTCACCCCTCTTTCACTATTCTATTAACTTTGTTTTAGTTAGGAATATCTATATATAGAAATAGAGAAAGAGAGAGCACATGAATTACCAACTAATCATCAGCCTAGAAAAATACATCATCTAAACGTTTACTTTATTCTAACTGGACAAAATAATTTTAATGGAGTATATTACTTACCTGTATATTATTATTGAGCAGTTTGAATACAGTTAAGTAAATATCAGTTTGTATGAGTAATAGAAAATTGAATAACGAATAGACAAAAGTAACAGTGGTTGATTTTTTTCAGTGATTTCAAGATCCTCGATATTTCGTTCCATTTAGGACTCGTCAGTTAGATGTACTTACATCCTAGATTTGTTGTTCACTCTGAGACTCGAGGTATTTCGCACACGATGCACATATGTCTATAAGAGTCTGATCAATCGCAATCCCAAACAATAATGGGAAGATACGAGCAAATAATATCAAGTGAATTTAAACTTCACCTCATTACATAAGCAAGTGACAATCAGGACTCAGTAGCTAAGTGGATAACGCGATGATATATGAAGCCAACTATACTAGGTTTGAGTTCCGGAGTTGACATCAATATCAAGGCAGTCCTAAACAACAATGAGAAGATACAAGCAAACAATACCAAGTGAACTATCATCATTGTTATATTATTTATATTCTTTGTTTTTAAGTAAATTTATCTGAGATCTGTGGAATCGTATATGCGCACTACTGAAAAGTACCAAAATAAGATGAGACGGACTACTAGTGCTTCCAGATTTTTAATGGTAGTCTAACATCAATCGATTCCCACAACCCTACATTAATAGCATATATGTATATGGCTTCATTGACTCATGAATTCAACTAACAAAACCACTTCAATCCCCACAAACCGCCATTCCAATGATAATAATAATCATGTACTCACAAATGACTGGCTTCAAGATGAATCTCCTAGTGTTTAAGTGAGAACTCGTGACCAATGGAGTTCAATCCAGGTCGAGTAGAGACAGATAGATGAATGATCGTGCAAGGTTATGGATTAATTGAAGTTAGAGATTAATACTGATGGACGCCAGCTCAGTGATCTGGTAGTTAAAAGTTCGCGCGTGAGACTGAAAGTCTTGGTTTTGAATCCTACATGCAGGGTCGTGGACGAAACAGCTGTTCAGTGCTTCCGAATTTTTAATGCTGGTCTACGTTAGATCGACCTATGAATTTGACTATTAAAATATATCACTTCAATTTATTATTTACATACTGTAAAATTCAACCA